TCAAACGTTCTCGGACATGTCGGATCGCAGCCTGTGGGTTCGACCATGACCATACCCACTAGTACATCAACAGTACCCGGCCGGTCAGCAGGCAAAAAGAGGGAGAAACGCATATCATCCAATKCTCCAGTAAACCCAGTGATCAATTTGTCATAAATGTGTATTACAAAAAACCTCAATAAGAAATATGTATGTTCAAATATGAATGAMGTATTCATAGAATAAATATAAAGAATAAAAGATGAGTACAAAATATGCAAAATGTGTACACATCTCTATAAGAATGAAAAAAACTGACCATTAAATGTACCGTGGACAACTATAAAGTATAATCCCTTCTTTAGAAAATATAGATCTATCGATTTTCTACGTGTAATAAGTTAACATAGCCACAAGGAGAAATATAGATAATACGTCAAACCCAATACGTTCAAGAAAATCATTACTAGCTAAGTTGGTTACGCACTGGACTCTCAACCCAAACTAAAGGTCACCGGTTCGAGCCACTCCAATGTTAAGAAGTAGTTAATATAATATAGTAAAATAACATAACATAAAAATTGATTAGTTAAAATAAAGATTAGAGAAGTAAGAAGAAGAGAAAAAACACCCCAAAAAGATAAGTGGTTAAAAGTAACGGAGAAGTTTTAAGAGCCTAGCAAATTTATGTTAATGAGTTCCAAACCCATGTGTCTGGATATCCAAACACATGGATTTGGATATCTAAACACACGGGTTTGGAACTAATTAGCATTCGATGTTGGATCATGGTATCCAAGGGTATGCACGTGACTCTAAAATAAACATCCGATTGGACTATGAAGTCATGAATTATTAATGAGTTTGAGAATGATAATGCAATCTTGTTTTTACAGTGTGCATTCAATGTTGAAAAATACATACCGTACCTTTTCTACTCGACATTCAAATCAACATTTTTCTTGACCGTTCAACTAGCTAGTATTTGTTAAGAAAAAACAAACAAACAAACAAATAAAAGACCGACAATACATGTAAATGTAGAGTCTACCAGCAACTATATTCAGTAGCCTTAGCAGTCAAATGAAAATTTTATTCATATGTAAGAGCAGGCTAAGAGAACAAGAACTCGCATTAGGAAATTCTATCTTGCAATTGTACACAGATTACCACAAGATGCATAAATCGGGAAGAAATCCAAGGATAGTTGCTGTATATCAAATGAATATATATAATTTTAATGTAGCCTACGCCGTGTTTGACATTCGTTTGATTTACTATAACTATACAGACGATCCAACTACAACAAATAAATGAAATTACAATAAATATSTAACGAAATATACGAAAAAACTGAGCGAAATATACTTACATACATGACCTCTTCTACACTTACTAGAACTGAAGAAATTTACATACCGAACTAAA